ACACCTGCAGAAGGGCACACCTGCAAGGAAAAGGCACACCTGCAGAAGGGCACACCTGCAAGGAAAAGGCACACCTGCAGAAGGGCACACCTGCAGAAGGGCACACCTGCAGAAGGGCACACCTGCAAGGCTAAGGCACACGTGTAGAAGAGCACACCTGCAAGGAAAAGGCACACCTGCAGAAGGGCATACCTGCAAGGAAAAGGCACACCTGCAGAAGGGCACACCTGCAAGGCAAGGGCACACCTGCAGGAGCATTGCAGACCATCCTATAGTTCTAAGAAACTGTAGACTCCAGAGAAGAAGTTGTCTTCTGGGACCCCCTGAGTCCTTTTTTTTCTGCCACAACCGAAGTGTAGATGGAAGTTTTCCTGTGTCCCGCAGCCTTTTGGTCCCAAATAAACACACAGAGGCCCATATTAATTACAAACCGTTAGGTCTATGGCTCAGGCTTATTGCTAGCTAGCTCTGACATCTTAAATTAATCTGCTTCTATTAATCTATGTATTGCCATGTAGCATTACCGGTCTGCTGGCATCTTGTTCCTTGGGCAGCTGAATGGCATCTCCCTGAATCTGCCCTTCTTCTCCCTGTCTCTTTCTTTAATTTCCTACCAGGCTCTTATCCTGCCTTACAATAGACCATAAAAGCTTCTTTATTAACCAATGGGAGCAACCATATTCACAATATACAGAAAGACATCCCACAGCACACAAAAGCTACATGGATACATGCATGAGGCAGGATGACCTCAAATTCATGTACCCTTCATATCTAGCAATTCCCTGAGGTCTGATCCAACATACTTGAGCCCAGAGCACTGAAAATGGAATTTGCCATTGAGAATAAAAGGTACAGCAAAACTCCTCCGCACTGAGCCTCTGCCTCAGAGAGGGAAGTCACTGCTACTTCAAAATAGTTTCCCAGAGTGGAGGTCACAGTGTTTCTATAGCAGAAGAGTCTAAACACTAATTAAGCTCCTAAGTTGCAAATCAACAGTGTTCCTTGCTTTTCTTACTGCTATGACCAAATATCTGACAAGCAGCAAGCCAAGGCGGAAAGGTCATTTTGTCTCTTGGTTCATAGGGCAGAGCCCACTGTGGCCAGGCAGCCACGGTAGGCAGCCATGGTAGGCAGCCACGGTAGGCAGCCACGGTAGGCAGCCACGGCAGGCAGCCACGGTAGGCAGCCATGGTAGGCAGCCACGGTAGGCAGCCATGGTAGGCAGCCATGGTAGGTAGGCACGGTGCAGGAAGGACTCGAAGCTGTAGTGGCAGGAACTAGCTCATATCTTGGTGGATCAGGAAGCCCAGAGAGAGGAATGCTGGCACTAGCTTTCTTCTTTTTCCTCATTCTAGGACCCCAGCAGTGTTACCCACATGCAAGTGGGTCATTCTCCTCGGCTAATTCTCTCTAGAGACACCCTCACAGACACACCTGTGGTATCTCCTAGGTGATCCCAAATCTGTCACACTTCACGATGTCAATCAGGACTCACCTTACGTCTCATTTGCACAAGGCCCATAAACAGGAACAAGGTGGGCTTTTCAGCTCCATCAACTCTGAGGGAAACTGAAGAACGGGGCTCTTCTTTCTGCATGAGTCAGACTCCCTCCACAGGGCCTGGTCTCCTATGGAAGCCTTCCTTCCAGGTGTCGGGTCTAGAGTGCACAGAGAAGATCAGGGTCCAGATTGAGGGCCGTTCCTCTGGACACAGCTTGGCCTCCATTTGCTTCTATAGAGCCCATGAATTAGATGCATGGGTGTAGACAGTGTGGCTCAAGCTACCCAGAAAAGGAGCACAAGAAAGCAGCCCAGGGATGGCACCACCCACCATGGGCTGGGCCTTCCCCCATTGACGCTAATTGAGAAAATGCCTTACAGCTGGATCTCATGGAGGCATTTTCTCAACTGAGGCTCCTTCTCTGATGACTCTAGCTTGTGTCAGGTTGACACACAAACCCAGCCTGTACAGAGTATTTGAAAATGATACCTCATGGTGACCTCTGGCCTCCACACACACTCACAAATCCACACCTAAAGACAAAGAACCCAGCTTTCAGGAGAAATGACAGTGTGCTGGCTAGTCTTACGCTGTCTTGACACACAAATTCGAGTTAACTTAGAGGAAGAACTCTCAATTTAAAAAAAAAAAATGCCTCCATAAGATCCAGCTATAGGGCATTTTCTCAATTGGTGATTGATGGGGGAGGTGGTGCCATCCCTGGGCTGGTGGTCCTGGGTTCTATACGAAAGTAGGCTGAGCAAGCTAGAGGAAGCAAGCCAGTAAGCAGCACCCCTCCATGGCCTCTGCACCAGCTCCTGCCTCCAGGATCCTGTCCTGTTTGAGTTCCTGTCCTGACTCCCTTTGACAATGAGCAGTGCTGTGGAAGTGTAAGCCAAAGAAACCCTTTCCTCCCCAACTTGCTTTTGGGTCATGGTGTTTGGTCACAGGGATGGAAACCCTAAGACACACAGGAATCACACCATGACTGCCATGAGTGGAAGTCCATTCCTACAGGCTTTACGTCTTCCAGCCTGAGGCAGGCACTAACACTGTGTGTGGTGCCCGCACTGCCCTTTTCCTGCCGACCGCAGAGGCTGGCATGTTAGCATGCCTCAGACACAGAAGCCCTGACCGGGCTTGCAGGGGATGGGGTGGCTCTTCCTTTCCTTCATCTGCTCTGATCACTTCCTAGTGTGGTGCCAGTAGCAGCGTCAAAAGAATAAGAAGGCTATCCGCTAGGCAATGCCACTTTCACTGTCTATAAGTTGGTAAGAGGTGCACGGTCCATCAATCTCAGAAGCAGGCGTCCCCAACAAAAAGGACTGACCCACAAACTCTCTCCAGACTCCCGAGGAACATCAGATGCTCGAGAGCCGAGCTCACCAAGAGTTCTCAAACTCCACAGCGGCCACAGCCAGACCAGCCGCACTGAGACAGCCCACTCCAAGTCTTCCTGGCCTCCCTGCACACTCACATTGTCCTTGCCTTCAGAAGAGGCGTCTGTGGAAGAAACCTTTGCCGAGTGAGCATCCTACGCCATTCCCGTGTACAGACAGGCTTCGGGGACCCACACTTGTCATGCATTTTCCTAACTGATCACTTCCCTGGGGTGAAACAGGCGCTCACTGGACACAGCACCAGAGAAGCTGCCATCCATTGACCTGGGCCACTCATGTTGGCCTTCCTACTTCTGGTTTTGAAAGCCCCGTTCCAAATGCATTGGTTTATTTCAAGATTGTAAGTGGTTCAATGCCATCTTCCCCCCTTAGTTTTCTGTAATACATCAGCAAGCGTGGTGATAAAGCTACTACTAACAGCTGGCCTGGGTTCCTCTCCAAGCGCATCTTTGTGAACACCCTCCGTGGCTTGCAGAATGTGCATATTTTCTATGCTCCACATTTGGCTCCGCCGACACTGTTATGAGTACCGTATAGTATGGTTAAAAATGTTTCGCTTTCATTTCTGAGTCTTTAATTTTATGTTTGAGCTCTGCATAAAAATAGCTTGTCATTGCTTTTTGACAGTAATAAGGCTAAGATTGTGACTCAAATATCTGAGAGATTATGTTCTTTTGTAATTGTGTTCAATGAAAACATGGCTCAATATGGAGCGTGGAAAAAAAAATCTCAGCTTGTGTAATTTGAACATTCTACCAACGCCATGAAAGTTACAGCGAGACTCGGGCACCATGAAGACTGAGGAGGAGCACATTGGCTTTTTAACAAAGCTCTGGGTTTTGGTGGCAGGGGTGGTTGGTTTGGTTTGGGTTGGCTTTGGGGGTGCGTATGCAGTGTGGCTGGGTGTGTTTACTAGTGTTTGCACGTCTGTGGGGGTACAGGTGTATGTGCATGTGTGTACAGGTGTGCATTCAAGTGTGTGCAGGGACATATGGAGGCCTGAGGTCGACATCAGGTGTCTTCTTAAATCAGTCCCCACTTGCCTGAAGCAGGGTCTCTCACTGAACCTGGAGCTTGCCTGGTCTGACTGACTGGCTTGTTCTGGCATCACCAGTTTGTGCGCCTGTGTGCTGGGACCGCAGGCAGTTGCCACGCCTGCTGAACTCTTGCATGGGTTTTAGCTCTGTGGACTGTGGCCCTCACACACACACACACACACACACACACACACACACACACACACACACA